CAGAATATATGAAGAACTCTAAAAATTTTAGAACTTGAAAAACAAAACTTTACAAATGGGCAATTTTAAAGACATTTCACCAAAGAAATACACAAATGGCTAATAAACACATGAAAAGATGCCCAAAATCGTTTTTCAGAGAAATGTAAGTAAAAACCACAATGAAATGCCATTTCATATCCAACAGAATGTCTATAATCCAAAGGACAGATACTAGCCAGATGGCAAAGATGGAAAGAAATAAAAGCCTTCATACCATTGGTATGTGGTAAAATGGCACATGCCCTTTAGAAAAGAGTTTGGCAATTAAAAAAATAAACATAAGTTTACCATACAACACAGCAACCCTATTCTTAGGTATCCACCTAAGAGAAATGAAAATGTATGTCTTCACAAAGACCAACATGGGAATATTCAGAGCAGTGTTCCTTATAGCCAAAAAGTGAAATGAGCCCAAATGTCCATCAACCTATGAATGGATAAAGAATATGGGTTACAGCCATAAAAGAGACTATTATTCAGCAGTAAAAAGGAATGAAATATGATATATGTTACTATATGGGTGAACCTCAAAACCATGCTTACCGAAGGAAACTACACAGAAAACACCATGTACTATATGATTCCATTCATGTGAAATGTCCAGAAAAAGTAAGTTAATAAGAAACAAAAAGCAGATTAGTGGTTGCCTGGGACTGGAAGTGGGTATCATTAGGGATCTTGCATGAATGGTGAAATGCTCTAAAAGTGAATTAAGATGGTCACTGTGGACCTAAGTAAATTTACTAAAATCCTTGACTCATACCTTGACTCATATAATTAAGATGGGGCAAATTTTCTGATATGCAATTTAGGCCCCCACTGAAGTGTTTTTTTAAAAACTGCTAATCTGTACCTCTCTGAGGGACAAATTTACCAATTAGAGTATAATGTTTATGCAGTCGTTTGTGTCTTTAGCCTTACAGTATGCACTCAAAGCACTCTTTTCCAGTTACTTCAAGCTGCTCATTTTTCTCTAACTCTGACAATAAGGTTATATCACTCATTAATTTTTTTCCTTAGACTTTATTGGGATGCATTTGACATATAATGTAAGTTTGAGGTGTACAATGTGTTGGTTTGCACACTTACATATTGCAAAATAATTACCACCACAGCATTAGCTAATTCCTCTTTTTTGTAGTGAGACTATTTAACACTTAATCTTCTAGCAACTTTCAAGCATATAATACAGTATTGTTAATTATAATCATCACGATGTATATTAGATCCCCAGAACTTATTCATCTTCTTCTATTCATACTCTTTGACCAACATATCCCCATTTCCCCCAACACATAGCTTCTGCTAACTGCCATTCTACTCTCTGTTTCTGTGAGTTCAGCTTTTTTTTAAATTGCGCATATAAGTGAGATCATATTGTATATGTCTTTGTCTGGCTTGTTTTACTTTAGCATATATCCTCCAAGGCCCATCCTTGTCTTTTTTTTTTTTTTTAATTGTATTATATTAGTCACCATACAATACCATGCTGTTGCAAATAACTAGGGTTTCCTTCTTTTTATAGCTGAATAGTATTCCATTGTATATATACAGTTCGATTATGTACATTATATTTTATATACAGTAATACATAATTATATGTAGTATAGTTCTAATATTACATGTATTATAATAAAAGTTATTTTGAATTCTTTATAGGGTAAATTTTAGATCCCTGTGTTTTGGGGTTTGGTTCTAGAAGATTATTATAATCCTTGGGTCGTGTCCTGTTTCCTTGATTTTTCATGTTCCTTGGAGATTTGTGTTGCTGTCTTACATTTAAAGTAGCAGTCACCTCCTCCAGTCTTTACTAACTGCCCTCAGGAAGGACTTGCCTTTCATCAGCCCTGCTAGAAATCCTGAGGCTTTCTGGGACCTTGAATGCACATGCCTGCTCAATACTTACTGCTCCCTCTTGTGGCAGAGTTCTTAAGCTTGTATATTTTCTCTGGATCCTGTATCATACCAGGCCAAATGGAGACACCTTCCGTTTTGTTTTCTCTAAGGTGGCACCACAGCTCAAGTTATGGTTTTCTCTGGCCCACAGAACCTGGCTTGCTTTCTGCAAGTGCTCCCTAGATGTTCACCAAAGCTTGCTGTCCCTAGCATTCTCAGGAGCATGCACAGGGAGCTGGCTACAGAGTTGGGGAGGCGTGGGTGAGATAAGCCTGTTGCTGGGGATGCCCACAAGCCAGCTGCTGGATTCTGCAAGTGAGGCTTTCCCAGCAGCTCATGAGTAGGCTTCCTGATGGAGTCCAAGCACAGCAGAAGCTACATCCCTTTAATGGTCTCTGAGAATCATATCTGCCACTGTTTTCTACTCTCATCCCACAATTTAGTACTCTAGATGACTTTGTGGTGTCCTGCATAGCTAGAAATGCCTGGTACTCACTCTTACTCCCTATTTCCCTGCTAAGGGAGACATCATGGGGTGAGAAAGTCTCACTTGGTCCTAGCTGCACCACTTGGGGAACATGTGATGCACACAAAGTCAAATTGTTCCTCTTACCCAATCCAATGTGTCCAAACTTATTCTTTGCTTCAACAAAGTACTGGAACTTCTAATCTGGAAACCTGGACTTGCCTCTTGTCTATGGGTGACTGCCCGAGTCAGTGTTCTCTGGGTGCTCCCTGACTGTGACAAAGAAGTGTTGGAACCATTCATGAGCTACTAGAGTCCATAGCCAGGATGGAGGTTTGTCTGCCTATTACCCGAGGCACAGGTGGGCAAGGTTTTTCCAGGTCCCTTGGTGTGTAATACTAGATCCCACACCTTCTACAAATGCACTTTCATTCATGGATGGGTGCCAGATTTTTGTTGTTGAGAATGGGGGGAGGAGGGAAAACAAGGGACATCTTATGCTATTGTGATGTTGAAATCAGTTGTTATATATTTGTAGTAGTTCCTTATGTCCCAGTCTGTATTTCATCCTAGGATCTCCCAACATCATGGTTCATTGCTTTTTTGCATGCAATTTTTTTATTGAGAAAATTATAGTATAATTAAAATATAATTGAATGATGAAAAAGACAACCTAACTGTGATGCGTAATTTACTGCTAGGTGAGTCTCTTTGTTGTGTTTTTTCTTTGCCACCTTTCTGTAAGGGACTGGGTCCTGTGGGGACTATCCTTGTATTGCTACCATATTCTCTGTGTGTGTGTATGTGTGTGTATTGTGCAGGAAGTCACATCATAGGACCTTCCTCTGAAAATGATTATAGATCACAAAACTGTGATCTCTGGCCCTCATGACAAATTTTAATATGAATTTGTGGGGTTCAGGAAAGAGCACATGCATTTTGCATGGGGGCGGTATCAAGAATATTTGGAACTAGAGGGAACATGGCGGTAGATTGGTTTCAATAATGGCTTCAATGTATTCTTGACCACTGGTGTTCATATCCTCACATACAACTCTGGTCTTGGGTATATGACTTTAGTAAATGGAACAAAAGTAAACAGATGCAAGCAGAAACTTCAAATGTTTTTACAAGGTTTGTACAATGGGGTCGCTCACATGTTGCTCTTAGAACCTGAGGTTACAACATGGATATGCTTAAGCTAATCAGCTGGATGATGAAAGACAAGGGACCAAGTCACTCTTGTGTCACTTGAAAAGTTTGTTTTCTCTTAGCTCCCAAACCATCCTTCCATAGTTGCTTTGTGAAATTGGATGCAGGACTCTGATAACCACATTTTTGCTTTGCCAGGTAACTCCAAATTAGGGTTAGGCAAATAAGGCATTCTATAGAGAGATTGCAAGTTTAGAGGAGAAACAAGGGATTTGCTTCCTTCATTTGGCTACCATTGGGCTTCCTGAGAGCTTCATGTCTCTTTTCAGTTTCTGAGAACATCATCCCAGCAATGTTTCTTTATCCTAGGAGCAGAAGTTCTTTCCATGACATAAATGGTCTGTAGTTTTCTCAACATTTGCAAAACCAGTTTTATCTAAACCTCACCAGCTGAGACACTAGCAATGTCCCCTCTTCAGAAGTACGTCTGAGACCCCTCCTGAAAAATCAGAGATACTAGCACCAGCCAAGCTGCATCTTGTACTCAGAGTCTTTATCAGCCTTAGAAGTGGCAACTTCTTCGTAACATTCCTCCATGTTATCTCAGAATTCTTTTACACTTTGTTACCCAGTTAACAACTTTATACTTAGTTAATGAGTTTTTACACTTTTGCTATTTTTTCAGACAACTAGTGAGGTTTTTATCTCTTGACGAGCCCCAAATATATACCCCCATTGTCCCAAACAACAGCTAGCCAATTGCCAGACATGTGAGTGAAGCCATTGACCACAAGGTGACCAAAGGTGCATACGTTAGCCAGCCAAAATCAGTCTACATTCCTAACTCCCAAATCATGAACTCTAAATCCTACGGTACTATTTTAAGGTAAATAGTTTTGGGGGTAGTTATGCAGTAAAAGAACACTAACAAATATGGAAAAAAATTTTAAAAATTAATGATTCAATAACTCAGATGGATATAAATTAATCAAACAAAACACCCACCTGTATAGTTGATGGTTAGGCAGAGAAAAGTATTTTTTCTTCCACAGTTGCTAGACAACATGTTAATTTTAAAGTCATTTTAGGAAAGCAATCTAGAAGTATCTTTTAGCATTATAAAATCCTGGGATTTTCTCCCAAAGAATTTCAAGCATCAATAAATATGAATACATGTTCATGGAGACATTTACCAGTGGTAAAAAGCCAAAAAAGTCAATTCTCTTTAACAGAAGAATGATTAAATAAACAATTCTATACTGTGAAATATTATACTACTAGTAAAGGTATAAATTAAAGGTTTGCAAGGATTCACCTAAAATATTTCTGAATAAAAAGATGTAAAATGAGTAAAATGAAAAGTCATACCAAACAACCACTATGCATACACACACATACACACACACATATATTATATATTTTTTTTTTTCTTTTTTTTCTTTACCTTGACTGTCAAAGGGTGATAAATTGATCACTTTTGTTGGGAATTTACTCATTGAGATGTTCTTCGGAACTAAATCTTGTTGGTTTGAAAATATATTTTTGTTTTTAAACAAATTCATTCCTAAAATGAAAATGTATAGAAATTAGAGATCCTGAATATTCATACACTACTCTCCAAACACCATATACTACTAGTCTTTATTTATATGTTTGTAATGTTTTCTTACCACATTTTATTGAGTGGCCACTTGCTTACTGCTCTAATTTATATAAACTATTTGATCATTTTCTCTTCCTTGTCTTTATTCTGTGTTCATTGATAGCATCTTCTTTCTTTAGCTTAGTGAGTTTACTTACTATGCAAAAACTGCACATATTCAATGCATATATATTTTGATAAGTGTAGACATAGGCATATGCCTGCAATACCATCACCACAATCAATAAGCATACCATCACCTCCAAAAGGCTTCTCTTGTTTACTTTTTAGGTAGATGGTAAGAAAAGTTAGCAATTTTTCTCTCTATATTTTTCTCTATATATTTATCTGTCTGTGGGCATTTAGATAGTTCCCATGTCTTGGCTATTATAAGTAATGCTGTAATGAACACAGAAGTGCATGTATCACTTTGAAAGAGTGATTTCATTTCTTTTGAATATATACCCAGAAGTGGGATTGCTGGATCACATGGTAGTTCTCTTTCTAATTTTTGAAGGAACATCTATGTTGTTTTCCATAATAGTTGCACCAGCTTTACAATCCCACCAACAACGTACAAGGGTTGCCCTTTCCACACATCCTAACTAATATTGGTTATCACTTGTCTTCTTGATGATAACCATTCTAACAGGTGTGGGATGTTATCTCATTGTAGCTTTTTTTTTTTTTTTTTGGTTAAATATAATTGTTTAGATGATTCTTTTTTTCTTTTCAGCGTAACAGTGTTCATTGTTTTTGCACCACACCCAGTGCTCCATGCAATATGTGCCCTCCCTAATACCCACCACCTGGTTCCCCCAACCTCCCACGCCCCTGCCCCTTCAAAACCCTCAGGTTGTTTTTCAGAGTCCATAGTCTCTCATGGTTCACCTCCCCTTCCAATTTCCCTCAACTTCCTTCTCCTCTCCATCTCCCCATGTCCTCCATGTTATTTGTTATGCTCCACAAATAAGTGAAACCATATGATAATTGACTCTCTCTGCTTGACTTATTTCACTCAGCATAATCTCTTCCAGTCCCATCCATGTTGCTACAAAAGTTGGGTATTCATCCTTTCTGATGGAGGCATAATACTCTATGGTGTATATGGACCACATCTTCCTTATCCATTCATCCACTGAAGGGCATCTTGGTTCTTTCCACAGTTTGGCGACCGTGGCCATTGCTGCTATAAACATTGGGGTACAGATGGCCCTTCTTTTCACTACATCTGTATCTTTCGGGTAAATACCCAGTAGTGCAATGCCAGGGTCAATAGGGAAGTTCTATTTTTCATTTCTTGAGGAATCTCCACACTGTTCTCCAAAGTGGCTGCACCAACTTGCATTCCCAACAATAGTGTAAGAGGGTTCCCCTTTCTCCACATCCTCTCCAACACATGTTGTTTCCTGTCTTACTAATTTTGGCCATTCTAAGTGGTGTAAGGTGGTATCTCAATGTGGTTTTAATTTGAATCTCCCTGATGGCTAGTGATGATGAACATTTTTTCATGTGTCTGAGAGCCATTTGTATGTCTTCATCGGAGAAATGCCTGTTCCTATCTTCTGCCCATTTTTTGATATGATTGTCTGTTTTGTGTGTGTTGAGTTTGAAAAGTTCTTTATAGATCCTGGATATTAACCTTTTGTCTGTACTGTCATTTGCAAATATCTTCTCCCATTCCGTGGGTTGCCTCTTTGTTTTGTTGACTGTTTCCTTTGCTGTGCAGAAGCTTTTGATCTTGATGAAGTCCCAAAAGGTCATTTCCGCTTTTGTTTCCTTTACCTTTGGAGACATATCTTGAAAGAAGTTGCTGTGTCTGATATCGAAGAGGTTACTGCCTATGTCCTCCTCTAGGATTCTGATGGATTCCTGTCTCACGTCAAAGTCTTTTATCCATTTTGAGTTTATTTTTGTGTACGGTGTAAGAGAATGGTCGAGTTTCATTCTTCTCCATATAGCTGTCCAGTTTTCCCTGCACCATTTATTGAAGAGACTGTCTTTTTTCCACTGTATACTTTTTCCTGTTTTGTTGATTATTTGCCCATAGAGTTGAGGGTCCACATCTGCGCTCTGTACTCTGTTCCACTGGTCTATGTGTCTGTTTTAATGCCAGTACCATGCTGCCTTGGTGATCACAGCTTTGTAGTAAAGCTTGAAATCAAGTAACGTGATGCCGCCAGTTTTGTTTTTGTTTTTCAACATTTCCTTAGCAATTCGGGGTCTCTTCTGATTCCATACAAATTTTAAGATTATTTGCTCCAGCTCTTTGAAAAATACCAGTGGAATTTTGATCGGAATGGCATTAAAAGTATAGATGGCTCTAGGCAGTATAGACATTTTAACAATGTTTATTCTTCCGATCCAAGAGCATGGAATGGTCTTCCATCTTTTTGTGTCTTCTTCAATTTCTTTCATGAGTGTTCTGTAGTTCCTTGAGTACAGATCCTTTACCTCCTTGGTTAGGTTTATTCCCAGGTATCTTATGGTTCTTGGTGCTATAGTAAATGGAATCGATTCTCTAATTTCCCTTTCTGTATTTTCATTGTTAGTGTATAAGAAAGCCACTGATTTCTGTACATTGACTTTGTATCCTGCTACGTTACTGAATTGCTGTATGAGTTCTAGTAGTTTGGGGGTGGAATCTTTTGGGTTTTCCTTATAAAGAATCATGTCATCTGTGAAGAGAGAGAGTTTGACTTCTTCCTTGCCAATTTGGATACCTTTAATTTCTCTTTGTTGTCTGATTGCTGTTGCTAGGACTTCTAATACTATGTTGAACAAGAGTGGTGAGAGTGGGCATCCTTGTCGTGTTCCTGATCTCAGCAGGAAGGCTGCAAGCTTTTTCCCAAGGAGGATGATATTTGCTATGGGTCTTTCATAGATAGATTTTATGAAGTTCAGGAATTTTCCCTCCATCCCTATACTTTGAACGGATGCTGGATTTTGTCAAATGCTTTTTCTGCATCAATTGAGAGGACCATGTGGTTCTTCTCTCTTTTCTTATTGATTTGTTGTATCACATTGATTGATTTGCGAATGCTGAACCATCCTTGTAACCCAGGGATGAATCCCACCTGGTCATGGTGGATAATCTTTTTAATGTGCTGTTGGATCCTATTTGTTAGGATCTTGTTGAGAATATTAGCATCCATATTCTTCAGTGATATTGGTCTGAAATTCTCCTTTTTGGTAGGGTCTTTGCCTGGTTTGGGGATCAGGGTAATGCTGGCTTCATAAAAAGAGTCTGGAAGTTTTCTTTCTGCTTCAATTTTTTTTAAACAGCTTCAGGAGAATAGGTGTTATTTCTTCTTTGAAAATTTGGTAGAATTCCCCAGGGAATCTGTCAGGTCCTGGCTCTTGTTTTTTGGGAAGTTTTTGATCACTGCTTCAATCTCGTTACTAGATATCGGTCTATTTAGGTTGTCGATTTCTTCCTGGTTCAATTTTGGGAGTTTATAGCTTTCCAGGAATGCATCCATTTCATCTAGGTTGCTTAGCTTATTGGCATATAACTGTTGATAATAACTTCTGATGATTGTTTCTACTTCCTTGGTGTTAGTTGTGATCTCTCCCTTTTCATTCATAATTTTATTAATTTGGGCTTTCTCTCTTTTCTTTTGGATTAGTGTGGCCAATGGTTTATCGATCTTATTGATTCTTTCAAAAACCACCTTCTAGTTTCATTGATACGTTCTACTGTATCTCTGGTTTCTACCTCATTGATCTCAGCTCTAATCTTGATAATTTCCCTTCTTAGGTGCGGAGTTGGTTTGATTTGTTGTTGATTCTCCAGTTCTTTAAGGTGTAGAGACAGCTGCTGTGTTCTGGATTTTTCAATTTTTTTTTAGGGAGGCTTGGATGGCTATGTATTTCCCCCTTAGGACCACCTTTGCTGTATCCCATAGGTTTTGGACCGAAGTGTCTTCATTCTCATTGGTTTCCATGAATTGTTTCAGTTCTTCTTTGATCTCCTGGTTGATCCAAGCATTCTTAAGCAAGGTGGTCTTTAGCTTCCAGGTGTTTGAGTTCCTTCTGAACTTCTCCTTGTGATTGAGCTCCAGTTTCAAAGCATTGTGATCTGAGAATATGCAGGGAATAATCTCTTTTTCTTGCTTAATTGCTCTAAAATTTCCAGTACTAAATTGAATAGGAATGATGAGAATGGGCACCTTTATTCTGATCTTAGATGAAAACCTTTCAGTCTTTTTCTTATAGGCTTGTCATGTATGACCTTTAAATTGTTGAGGTATGTTCCTTCTATACCAAATTTATTGCAAGTTTTTATAAGATGGTAAACTTTTTCAAATGCCTTTTCTGTATCTATTGAGATGATCATGTGATTTTTACATCATTTTGTTAATGTGGTGTATTATATATAATGACTTACATATGTATATCCACCTTTGCATCTCACAGATAAATCTCAATTGGTCACAGGATATTACCATTTTAATGTTCTATTGAGTTTGTTTTGCTGGAATTTTGTTGAGGATTTTTGTGTCAATTGTCATGGATATTATTTATTTTCTAGGCTTTTAGTTTTCTTTTCTTTAGTGTCCTTAACTGGTTTTGGTATCAGGGTAATGTTAACATTATAAAATGAGTTTGAGAGAATTCCTTTCTGTTTAATTTTTGGGAAGCATTTGAGAAGGATTGGCATTCATCATTCTTTACATTTTTGGTAGAATTGACTAGTGAAATCATCAAAAGTGAAAGTGAGGTACTCAAGTCTCTAGGTCTGAATTTTTCTTTGATGGGTTGTTTTTGGCAAATGATTCAATCTCCTTATCATTATTGGTCTGTTCAGATTTTATATTTCTTTACAATTAAGTCTTTGTAGATGCTATGTTTCTAGGAATTTTTCCATTTCTTCTAGGTTATCCAATTTTTTAGTTTACAATTGCTCTCTGTATCTCATA